GAAAAAATTTTAAAATTTTGAGAAAATCTGGTGAAAACAATCAGTTTTTGATAAAAGTAGACAAAAAAAATTGGTGGGATTTTAAAGATGGATTTTTTCGTCAGCAGGGCAGTGTAAACAAACAAAGAGGATGAGCGGAGTCGATCTCTCCCCATTGCACTCGATGGTCAACCGCTCGTCACAAACATCGTCACAACTTGACGAAAAGTGAATTTTACACGGAAATTCTTTCAGTTCACGGCCGAAGTCATGTATTGTGCATATTTTGGTATAGGTGGGAACCCTGGACTCGACCGGCACCTCGGAAGGGTCCCCAGTAAGTATTGTTCAAATCTACTCCACCTTCATAACCAACATATTTGGAGGCACTCCATTCTCTTGGAATGCTAAGAAGCAGCTTCTCTACGTAAATACTGATACGTCCGGTATTAACATGGCCTCTTACTTTCTAAACTACGCGCATGCCGTGGGGTACATGGCGTACTTGTCTTGGCGGGCTTACCATGTCTTAATGGACCCAGGAAAAACCTCAATCCTCGAAATCTTATGGCTACTCAACTGGATTAACTGCTACACTTGACCGTAACGACGTTCAACGGGTCGATCAACTTGTTTCGCAAGATGTCCTCAGAGAATGAAAAGACACCTCGAATGGTTACAATTATTTGTTCTTTGAACATTATTGAACTCTATTTTCTGATCGCGCTCTTTATGATTGGTCAAATCGCGCTGGCGGCAACTCTGATGTTCGCCGTGGTTCCGGGAATGATCCAGTACGTGTATTCCGTCGTGGAGCGAAAGTATAGTGTAGGTTTGCAGGCGTTTGTGGGATTCATCATTTTTGAGGGATATTCGAAATTGTCGATGACATGTGTGAAGGGCATGGTGTGTTTTAATGTGCTAATGGGAACTCTTGGAAGTAATTTTTGGTTGCGGTTTAACATAGGGTATGCACTGGATGGGATGGCAGGGGTTAACATATAAGTACATAATGTACAATACATTATCAAATATATCTAACATATCATCGTATATACTAATTCCGAAAAGAGCTAAGAGCGGTGGATGCTTAACTCAGAAAAGAGCGAAATGACTTTTATGCTTAATTCAGGAAAGAGTTAAGTTCTTCTTATGTTATTCTTATGCATTTTAGCTCTTTTCTGAATTAAACATAAAAGTCAATTAGGCATCGACCGCAGTTAGCTCTTTTTTGAATTAGTACATACGATACGCTCTCTTTATTATGGTTCCTTTCAGATCTACAAGATTGTCCTGCTCTAGCAAAATCCGAAACTTTCGTCGCCTCGATATCCTCCTGAGAAATGTGAACGATTCATTTACATACTTTCTTCTCTCGGTTATCTTACTTTGTTGGATTCCTTGCACAATGGCGTCGATTAATGGATTCGCATCAATTCGGTTTCGCCCCGTGTTGACTATTTTTCAATACTTGCCGTTCGTTGGACTCTTCCTTAATGGGATTTTGCTAATTGCAATAATCCTGACACCCTGCGCGGGTGTGTATGAAGAGTCCAAGAACCTAAAAGCTGCCCTAATGAGGCAGACATGTCAAGGCGGCGATAGACAGATCAAACTCCTTCGGAGGGAAGTCCTTACTCTGAAACCGTTCGGTATTCGCTATGGAACTGTTCGAGTTGCGAAAAGGATTGATATTTTGCTCTCGTACACTTTTATTGCTGATTATATTTTCACCTTGTTGCTTACCTTTCCGGAATAAGAAAAAGCACGGTAGGGTAAGCGTTATTAAATATTTTTAGAATTTATGAAGGTAAAAATTATATGTATAATGATACAAACGGTGTGATTTAGAATTTAGTTTTGTATTTATAACGTAGGGATTATTGTGTGTAATTATTGTATTCAGTTGGCCACCGCCGTAATTCAGTCTAGTCTGTGTGTATGCTACATAAGAAAACGGGCGTGACGATGACTTTGTTTTACTTGTAAATATGAAAGTTTAGTGGATCTATTTAGACAAACATTGAAAATTAATAGGTTGTGGGAATATAAAGCAAATAAGAAATAAAGATAAGTAGCTGTTACATAATATGCATGTAATTATTAGCCATTTTATTTACAATTTGGTTCCGAGAAACTATTTATGTACCCCTTTTTAACAGTTGCTAAAAAAGTTGGTATTGATTTTGCCGTTGATTGCCGTTTGTACATTTAGTACCCAATTAATTGTCTGTCAACCTATTTATATGGTCGAGGTTTTTAATTTAGGAATTTTTACTTGAAATACTGATGTGCATAATAGTTTTGAAATGTGTGCACATACGTGTCGGACATTGTAACTATGATTAAAGCTAATATCGTTAACACTAACACACCTCCAGCTGGATCATATAAGCATTTGTGTATATGTATGATACTTTAATTTAAAAGATAACCATGGTAATTATTTTATAATAAATACTATTTTATCCATATTTTTTCATAGTTGGTTTCCTTGTTTTCCAAGAACCTTGTCCAACATGCGAATATTTCGCCTCCCTTCCTTCACCAGAATTAGTGACATGGTCTGGTTCAAGCAAAAATTCTGAATTACCAACGGTGTCCCACTGTTCGATCCAAATGAAATTCGATCCAAATTTGATCTTGAGCAATCCACATGATTTCAACTGCTTGCGAATCCCGGATCGTTTCCCATACTTTAAACTTGTCCTGTCCAAGTTTCTCAGAGATTTGAGAGACGAATTAAAAACCCATGACTCCAATGTAAAGATCATCATATTGTTTAAAACTGCGTCCATCAGAATCATGGGGAATATTAGAAAGACCGGCATCGTAATTTCGTTATGCATCGTGATACTGACATATTGTACAACAATTTGTAATAGTGGGACACCGATTACCATGACGACATTTTCCATGAGGCGTTTTTTTTTCAATCAGTTGAATCATGCGGTATCTTGAGACACATGATTCACTTGCAGTGAGTGAAGCAGATTCCAATATTTTTCTAAGTATAAAAAATAATTATATTTTCAATCAGAATTGTTTTTCAGCTTATAGCATGCTTGCAAATGTGTGTATATATTTATATGACAGATTTTATGTATTTATGCCGAAATTTAAAACCAGATGTATGTTCTGGTTTTCGAAAAGTGTTTATGGTACCTAATTATTTGGAAATGTTTTTCAGCCTAATAAGGACTTTACCTTTCATGCATTTGAAAGTAAATCAAAAGCGAGCTGATTCCGGCAAAGAGATTGTATACAATTGGTGCCGTTCCTATTAGAAGAAACATAGGCAGAGAGATATATGTTTCCAATAAGGGGACTAGTACGATCAGTCCATTCCACCGGATTTCTGAACAGCGTTTCGTCATGGAGTGGATGAACGGTGGATCGCAAGGATCAAGTAGTATCAGGCCCAACACTGCCATCGGGATTATGTAGTAGTTGTGTTTCAACAAGTGAAAAAATACGATCATTGCTTTCGCTTGTAAGGAAGCTTCCGGTTTGTCTCCGTCTTTGATAAAATTCATAATTTATAAAATATGTACATGTAGATTTTTAAAGTTTAGACCTTCCAATATTTTGGACTCGAAATCCAAGCATGTATTAATCATTTGTATTTGAGCCTTGTCTTACTCATAGTTCCGGCACGAGCCGATTATTAGAAAGTACATGATACAGAAGACGAATCCCTGAAATTTTCTGGCAAGCGGTATTGCTCCGAAATGTAGGTGACCGGATACTGCGAGTGTGTATAAAAGCATGACAAGAAGAAGTAATTTGAACCTCTTTCCTCCTCCGGAACTGTTAACGGGAATGAATCGTTGCTTTCTTAGGTCGAATTTGAATGAGTAATATGGAAATAATTTTTGACATCGGTCATAGTGTTGTTGCCCGAAGGAAATGAATTGCGTTGAATACATTTTAAACAAATTTTAAATATAACTGATTAATGGTTATGTGTAGAAATTTGAAATTTGTGGTTATATATTGAAAAGAGTTTAATTGATTGAACGAAACGAATGGAATAAATTTTCAGCGACCAAAATGATTGTCACAAATATAACAAAAAATGTCACGCAGAGCGTGTAATGATTATAATTTTTTCAACACTAACAAATCGGATGGAGGTTTACATATGTATGTATGTGCATGTTTATTTTTAATATTTCTCCAATGTTGTACATACATACAAGCACCAACATGAAAAATGTATGTATGTAGAGAGGTAAAACTTTACTTTTCTTCTCACATTTCTTAGCGTGTAATGAAGTCACTTTGTTGTTTTGCTCTTTTCATAATCAGATTCAAGATCAAATTATATCGGCATGCGACTATGGGTTCCACACGCTGAACCTGATTACAGGAATCCCTCGAACCAGATTAACGCGGACGTAAATATTTGATCCAGCAGATTTTATCAAATCACGCAGCCATTGAATGGAATGAAATATGGAAGTTCTATCCATAATTGTGAAAGCGAAATGTGGAATTATCTACATAAATATGTAGGGTAATGGATCATTTGAATGGATATGCTGACTATTTTGTGGCAAAAGCATTTAGAATTTAATTATTATTTATTGAAAGATTCGTACTAAGATTATACTTAAATGCGTCACTCATCCGTTTCCCGCTTTAACAATTAATTTACTTTACATCTGTAATACCACACAACAATGTTTGAAACCTGCTATTCTTACGCCATTATACAAAGAGGAAAATTTCAAGAACATGCCCGTAGAATTGATAGTTATGTATGTGTGTACATCATAGTTATTCGTTTATTGCAAGCTATGTGAGCGTGGTATTTAGATATGTAATAGCGTAGAGTTCTGGTAAGATTTATCACGGCTAAATATCAGTTTGTGGAGAAATAATGACTTTTAAAGCCCTTTATTTATCAATGTACTTCAGCATGTGCAAATTTTAGAAAAATCGGGTCATGATTTTCCAAAATTCGGCTACCACTTTTATTATTCTTAAAATTATGATTATGAACCTTATACCCTGTACATAAATATATATGTATGTATGGGAAGACTATGTCCTAAAATAACTGGTAGGAGCTAAGTCTTCTCTATATTTTTGGCTGATGATGATCTCTTTGTCGTTGAAATTGTCGTCAAAATTGATGCCCAAATTATTTGAATTATACACTTTACTATGGTAACTCTGGTAAGCATTGTTATACATATATTTTTATTGTTGGTGTAAGTATTTTAGGAAAATTGGTAAAACCAGGAAACAATCCAATCAAATGTAAGAAATTAGTCACTGTCGACAGAAATGAAATTGAACTATTCCATCTTCGTTACGGAGATTTTATTCGATTCAACGAGAGGTCTCATGATTTGCATTGCTTCCAAGCCAAACTGTAAATAATATACACAAACATCGTTAAAAATACATCGTTCAGGTTCGTTTGTCTATGTATGTACGTATTCACATATTCTTCCTTTATCTAAGATTGAGTCCATGCAGAAATTAAGACTTCCGAGAAACTACAGTACTTTCGGTCTAATTGGGGTAATGTGAATGCAAAGTAATGACTGAAAGTCGCGTAGTTTGACATAATTTTCAATTTCGGGCTCAAGTTTGGATGAAGGGCAGTAGAACTTACATAAACATTGAGAAGAGCGACGTGATCCATCGCATCAAACGCCATGAGGAGCTGGTTAAAAAGATCAATCTCGTCCATCGTTGGCCCGTATGTCACGAGATACGTACCGTACGTCTCGACGTGCAATGTCTTTAACCCTGCAGTGTAATTTGGCTTAAAAATATATACCAAAATTGTCTAAATTGCGACCCTTATTTTTTCACTCACCCTCGCACGACTGCAGTAACTCGAAGAAGGGTTTGATAAAGTCCACAATTTTCCGGGGATATATGGGATGTGTCAGAGTCAAGTGGTTTAACCTCTTAAAACTTCCACACGACTTGAGAAAGTCGCCGAACTCGTTGTCACACACATGCTCGCAGAATTCGCGACATGTTTCTAACTGCAATCTCCCCAAGTTTGGAAATGTTTTCGCCAATTCTTCCAAAACTGCTGGATCGTGTAGTTCAATTAGCCCCAAATTCTTTACATGTGCCAAAATTTTATTCGTATGGAAAAGATTTTGTAGAATTTCATCGACCCATATATTGGTTGTTCCAAAAACCAGGGTGCGTAGGTTCGACAAATCTCCGATATCTTTAAAGTGATCGTCACAGTGAAAAATATCGGTAATTTCATTCCGGATGACCTCTAATTTCGACATGTTTCTCGGCAATTGGAACCCGGGGGGGTTAGGCGCCCTGAAATTGTGACTTCTCATTTCGCCCTTGTCGACAAAACTCAGTTTGACCAGCTGGTCACACACTTGGTTCATCATTCTTGAGAAATGTGAATGGTCGATATTAACTTGAAAAACATCGCCTGGTTGGAGTTCGATTGTGAGGGATTTGATACACTTGGAATTTGCCAAATCTGGATAAACTTTCCACGGTAGGGTGAGCTCCCTTAAATTGGGGGAGGCGTTGATAACCTGGCGAGTAAAATTGGTCACAAACTGGGTCACGTGATTCGACCTGACCGAAAACAAAGTCAAATTTGGTTTCTGAGGGAGCTCCTCTTGCAGAAATTCCTCGTAGTTCTCAGATCCAAATACTTTGATTTGGGAGAGCCAAATAATTTGACTCTCCCAATCGGGAGAGTCAAATTGGCAAAGTAGTCGTAACTTTGTCAAATTTAGGCATGAGTTTTTCAAGGCGAGTAGCACAGAATGAAGTGGGGTTTCGGAATGGATAGAAATTTCCAAAATTTGCACACTGTTGGTAAATTTGGCACAAACGGGGTTAAGTTTCGAAGAATATAAGGGAGACGAGGGAGTATCAGCCGAAATGCAGATTCGTTTCGCTAGACGGTGATCTATTGTGGAAATCATGTCCAAAAATTTGAAGACGTCGTTTCCCGTCCTGACGGTGAGATCGAAAAAAAGTCTCGAATTTTGAAGGGAGAGAACCATTTCATTCCAAAATTGGGATACGAGTCGTGCAGTTTTCAACGAGGCGGAGTTCTGTTTGAGAATTTCCGTTAAAATCTGGGAAATTTTGAGAAAAATATTTAGAGCTCAAATATTTAGAGGCTTAGGTATGATAATGTACATATTTGTGTTGCAATTGGATTATTTAGTGCAAGGTTTTCCGCATTTCGAGCAGTTTCCATTTCGCCGAAGGAACGCTATTGTAAAACAAATGGGCAAATGTTAGTTTTTTGTAAGTATTTAGTACTGTGTTCCTAAAGTAAATTGTATTTTAGAAAAAAAACTTGACGATGAAATTCCATCCCATACAATTACAAATACGCACACATAGAAGTTTACTGTATGAATTTAACTGCAGAAATGTTATTGAGAATTTAACAAGTACCAAAATGCAGATAGTTTTTACGAACTTTGCGAACATTACAATAAATAATTTGCTGAATTACCAACCTTAGTTAAATAAAGTCGTAATTGAGCAATATTTAGATTAATTTAATTTGATTTAAAAAACTGGCTGGAGATATTTATGTACATAAATATTTGTAAAATATTAATTTTTACTTGGTTCCTAGAATTTATCCTGCCGAATAGGCCTGTAGCTCAGTAAGGTTTAGTCTGTTACATTTCCAGGAAGGTTGGACTTATTAGGGCCAAGGGCACAGCATATTTCTGGGGACTCGTGCGTGTCGTGCGTAAAGTTCGTTGTTTATTTGGTGTGAATTCCTTTAAAATACAATTGCATAGATTGCATATGTAGTTATGTTCACATTTAGCTCTGATTTATAAATTATTGTGGTCAAGATGTAAAAAATGACGTGCTGTATGTACGGACCATTGATGCATTCAGCTCAGCAAGAACTTTCTCTTTCTTTATGAACGTCTAATATTGACTAATATTTACTTTGTTCCTTTACTACAAGTATAGAAGGAAATGAAATGTGTACAAATTCATGCAAGTCATCAGTCGCATAATCTGCCGATGGTATAAATATGTTGACTTACAACTCTTCCCTTGATGCATTAATGGGCGTATTTACATGTCTCGTGGTTATTAATTGGGGAGAACGCGTTCAAAATTTGGGTATAGTGTATCTTATTGCCTCCGGGATTACACGCGTTATTTATACACACAACATGTATATGTGCAGATTTAATTAACAGATATTCAAAAAAACACACATGTGCCTAGCATTGTCACAATATCAAATTAAGAAACGAGAACGAATTTGTAATAAATTGAGTCATGGGCCTATTTTAGACATAGATTTTTGGTTAAAATGGAGATTTAATTCCATTTGTTACAAATTCGTTACCTACCGTACCTTTATGTACATATACACATGTATCAATATCTAGCATTAAGAATCTACTACACTCTATCACGCTAATCCTCTGTAAAACAAATTTGGTTAAAGTTGCAACTTTTCTGTTCTACATATACTAAATTAATATTGAATTTTACGGATGAAATTAGTCAATTAGTTTGTAATAATTAGTGGACAAAAATATTAAGCAAAAAAATGGCTCAAAATTGGCTCGCGGCTAAACGTAATCCGGGATTAAAATTAATCACAATACTTAATCCAAACATATGACCCAACTTGCTTAATCCCATTCTAGTCCCGGATTTAAGTTAATCCTTAATGCCGAAATTAAAAAGAATAGTCCTTAATTTCAATCCTGACATCATTAATCCGCCAGTCTCTGCAAAAAAATGTATGACGACGGCGAATATTTTAACCCCATGTAATCCAAATTCTATACAACAAATATTTTCTTCCAGCAAATTGTGTACTCCGTGGTTTATTAAGAAGGCACAACGAGAAGGGTTAAACTACATAATTGTCACATTCTAACAAATGAAGGACAAAAACAAGTTTGTTGTTAGGCTTATGTAACCCACATGGGCAGGTTGCGTAGCAAGTAAATATATGCACATGCATAAATGTGTTGTATGTAAGATTGCAGTACATTTGGGTCCACAATATGACAAAGGTCCAGGCTGTATTAATATAAACAATTGATTTGAACACACCCGAATAAGCGGCGTGAGGGTTCTTAATCCCCAAGGTTTTTGACACATTTTATCTTATTTAGAATTCAAATGTCATAAATGATTTATGAAAGGTTACAATATTTATATTTGTCTTGCAAAATTTTGTATCTGTGTGTGCCACACACATACAAAATTTTTTCGCCCCCTACATACAGTGTGTGGGGGGTTAAAAAATTAAAAAATTCTCAAGAATATGTACAAGGTAATTTCTGGTCCCTTCGGATGTCAACTCCCCTTTGAGAGAGCCGATTTTCCCAGAAAGTGGATAACAAAGTATTTTACGATTTACATAAATTTACCCGCCTTCAACTTTGATAAAGTAAAGTCTTCCATAGAAAAGGGTTAAAAATTATGCAAGCTTCATATCTACCTTGCCATGCACGTTGTGGCGAGACCGACAAAAGTTCCGGTTTAAGGCAAAAGTTAAAAGACAAGCCTTTAGCAATTGTCAAAGGTTATATCCGACATTTTCTGAACAAAAACCAATTCGGAACAATTTGCATAAAATTATGTTCCTGTTGCTATATAACAAATAGTTATTTTAGATCAAAGTTGTATATTAGCACATATTCTGTTAATATATGTATTCATAATGCTCGAAAATTAAAATCCTAACGACATATTTAGAACTTTAATTCCAACCTGAATATACTTACTTTCAACGTTGAAACTCCAATTTTAGACCCAACTTTGACGTATAATGTTTGCCCGTTTCGCAGTAACCTTGCACCTGCAGATTTCGTAGTCCAGTCATAATTAGGAAATGTGTCACTTTAATATATGTATCTATTCTCGTTAAAATTCCTTAATTTCACACCCATTTTGACCCAAAAATATATATTTATATACCTTTCTGTCCCCTTAAAACGCTCACCTTTACTCCCTTGTCGACCCATTCACTCGGCAAGTTCAAATCCACAAACCTGCACAAGGAAAGAAAAGCCTCCACTCATTCATTCAGGTGTGTAAAGGTTATAATGTTTATCGACACTTTACCACCAAATTAGTCATTGAATTGGTAGAAATTTCACATACATCCATCGAATTATTTCCTCTGTAATTCTGCAGGACAAAATAAAAAAATTCAATTTAAATTTTTTATAGAAAGCCTGCCCCATGATGAAAGTTTTTGCTCTTATCCTGGCTCTTACCCTGGTCACCTGGGCTGCCCCAAATGAAAAATTGGCTCCAAAATGTGGCTCTAATGGCGAAAAATGTCCTGGTAAAGTTTTGCGGGAAAATTAGTCACGTTTTTGAAATTAGATATTCACTTGTTAATATTTTAACCAGGGTACTGCGCCCATATGAATGCAGCCTGTCAACGCGGTGGAGGGAGTTTCATCTCATGTTTAGAATTCCCGATGGAATCAGCGACTTGCTCAAATCCGAAGGACGGACAATTTGACGGCGAATGTGGATTTATTGGCTGTAGCGTCGACATTATTTGGGACGTGCATCGGTGCAATTGTTTCCTTACAGTTAAGCCTTAGAGTAATTTTAATAAATATATAGAATATAAATCTGATTACTTATTATCACTTATTAAATATGTATGGATGCCTCATTGGTTCATTAAATAGATCCTATTCATCAACAAATGCTATACAATGTGTTCCCTAAGAAATTGTCCACAACGAATGAAATTGATTGAAATAAATTATCGTAACGAATTTTTCAATGCTACATTTTTATTTGCGAATCCTTACATATATTTTTCGAGTATTTAATTATATTTTGCTGTTAGTTTTTTTAAATGATTGAACGCTTTTTGTTCTCAAAACTGGTTCTACATACACAAATAAATCATATTCATAAATAAATCATTTTTCTGCCATTTTCACAAACAATTACTATCAAAATATAAGAATTTTCTTATAAAAATACATTTCTCCAGGAAATTATACCATGCCCGAGTATGGGATGACCACCAAGCTGGTTATAAATAAATAGCTTAGCATAAAATTAACATAAACATGTAAGGGAGAGGACAATTTACAAATAGAGGAGTTAATCTACTCAATAAATTGATGTAATTTGTTGGACACACACTTGCCATTTAATGGCATTTGCAGATTCATCCATAAATACTGGAGAAATGTAATACAAACTTCCTTATTAGTCATTCCAACCGTAACAGATTGATTACCCAACCATTCGTAATTATTAAGGGGTGAAACCACTTTATAACAACGTTATGTCGGTCTGTCCATCCGTCTGTGCTCTAGCTTTCGAACGGGTCAACTTTTTGGAATTCTGTGTTCAAATTTCGACATGCAATTTTTAAGTAATGGACGAGTTAGTTAACTGACCATGTAGGTCAAAAGGTCACCACGCCACAATGATTTTAGCTCAAGGGTCACACATGTCCAATTTTTAGTTTTAGACGTTATTTTAGACGGGAAATTCAGAAATGACAACCGTTTCGACATGTGGTGACCGTGTGACCTGATCAAGGGTCACACATGGCGATATAAAACTTGATTTCACCCCTTGTTTACACTCTGATAAATGGTTTATTTCGCTTAAGGCATTTATTATTTATGTACATATTTTCCCCGATCCCATAGTAACCTTGAGGAGACGGGTTGGTCAAAAAGCTTAAATAAGATAACGATTTGTATCCGCGTAATTCCAGATAATGTAATCCTTCATATCAAAAATTAAACTGCATTGATGTGCAAAATCACCCACTCTTAAAGGAATTGCAAAACATGGCATGTAGATTTGCTTGATTCATTACTGCCTTAATCAGCCGCAATTCATTGATTGTTAATTCCTGCCATAAACTTTGACATGTATAAAATCAAGCCCCGTTTACAATAATGAGCATAGTGTGTTGGAATCTGTATCCTCGCCAAGAAGGATGTCGTGCCCAACCGTGGTTGTCGTGGCGATCTGCATTTCTTTGATCCCATATGGTTCCACAATTCCTGCAAAGGTTAAACTCACGCAGACAGAGATTGTACATAATGAGGGATATAAGGCCGACATTCATGTAGAACGTAGCGATAGGATTCATCTAAACCTTATAAAATCAGGTACGTATGTACAACAGTTAAGGAAAAGGGCTATACAATTAGGTAGATTATGAGTATTTGCAAATAATTATATTTATACGAGGGCCAGTCAGTAAATACCTAACACTTAATTATTCCAGCTAAACAGAAAGTATTTACTCAAATTCATTTTAAGGTTTTTTAACAAAGTCTCCCCCTAATTGAATGCAAAACTCCATCCTGTGCCTCAGTTGCTTCGGTCCTTCACCGAAGCAAATAAAATTCTTTAAAGTTGGAGTTTAGGACCGTTTGCACAATCGAAATTAGTTTATTTTCCTCTATAAATCTCTCTGCTCTGAACATTTTTTTCAAACTTGGAAATATATAAAAATCCCATGGGGCAAGGTCAAGAGAATAAGGTGGAGTGATCGATCTCAAGCTCGCTCTTGATTTGACCAGTCAAAACGGTCCAATCAAGGCAAAAGCCAACAAGTCGGCGAGCAAGGTTTTGGGTACAATTTTCTTATGGGGTTGTGCTCGGGGATTATCTTCAAAAACGACGATGTTGAAAACCCATAAAACGAATTTAAGTAAATACTTCCGGTTTTGCTGGTATTTATAAATTCTAAGTACTTACTGACTGGCCCTCGCACTACTTTTCATTCCTTTTAAGACTGGTACCGTTAAAATATTTGTCGAATTGAGGTAGAATTCAGCAATCTCAACCTCCCTAATATACTTATTTATGTATAGCTAATTAAAATCCATGTTTGAAACAAACTGATTAATTTCCACTAAATTTTATTTATCAGCAACAAAGCTAATTCTAATTAGAATCTAATTCGAAAATCCACAAAAATTGCAAAATAGTTTATAAAAGTAATGTCCTAAATTGACACAGGTCAGTAATGATTTAATACCAGTTTTGTACAATCCTGGGGTATAAATTGTGTATTCAAGGCGTTCGTAACCCTCTAAATTTTCGTTATACCCACGCGAAGGAATTATTTACATCACATATCATTTATATAAGATTCACCCGTATTTCATCCCAACATGAGAGTTGTTATAAGTGGAGATAACGGACATGAGGACGTCACTCCAACCACCGAACGGTTGGATGACCTAATGAATTCAATTTATGAGGATTCTCAACAAAATGCCATTGTCAGCGTGGTGAACGGAAGTCAGGGATTAATAATTCAGGTACAAATATGTGAATGTTTATAAAATATGTATGGTACAAGTTATAAATACGTATGTCTTACACAGCAAGGAATAATTGACGAGAAAAAGATAAATCATATCGGCCAAGGGGATCATGACGTGTCTAACATTTTCAATGGTGTCCTCACTACTAGGGGAGTAATTGATTTCGGTAATTGAAAAACATTTATAAGATAATAAAATAATACCGAGGGATTCACCCAGGGCTTTTTTTAATTAACACAATAAATTTGTAGTAAGTCCTCCTTACGATCCGTTGGACTGGACCCCACGTAATGAAACGATTGGGGTTAGAAACTCAATTATGGCCGTGGGAACGGTTGAAGTTCTTTTGGTAATCGATTTCTCGATTCAAACCTGGTTTGGGGGGAATGTCGATAGGATAACGGAGTATTATGCACTTTTCATTAAAAGTGTGAACAATATCTATGCCCAAAGTGAAGATCCTGCAATTAATTTCCAAGTAGTCGGGATCAATGTTATCACGGTAAGCAATTGAGACATGATTATATTTAACTGTAAAATAAATATGTTGTGATTATCATATCAATAATTATATTAGGAAATAAGATAAATATTTTAAGATACTTTTTAAGATACAAGATAAATATTTTTAAAAAAATTGTTTAATTTAGGAACCTACAAATTTCAAAATTGGTGTCTTCTAGGTCGTCTAAACAATACAAATTTTGATAAATTTAAGCACACATCGGTCACAAACAACAAAACTATGTAACATAAGCGCCAACTGGTTCAGCGCATAGGTCGACGCCGCCGATCTGACGCCGCCGCCGTGCCGTACGCCGGTAGCATTTTAGGCGCCGCCGCCGCCGATAAATCCGATTTCCTATACCTTTAACATTGGGACGCCGCGCCGCGCCGCCGGCGCGGCCGAAAAATCACCAAAAATTGGTGCCGCCGCCGCCGAAAATTGGTCGGCTTCGACCTCTGGTTCAGCGTACTCAGAACTTTGAGTACTTGAAAAGTTTTTCTGTACATGTCGAAAAATTATTATTTCACAAATCTGCTAGATTTTCACCACACAAAATAGTGCAAAACTATATTTGCTCAAGGCGTTGGTGTAAGATTTTTCAAAAGTATCTTTTATCATAAAAATATGTTTTGAATATGATGAGAAGCTCGTATAAAAGATATTGATACAAGATACCCAGGTACTATCGTCTATAGCGGTATTCCTGTAAGAAAGTTGAGTCAACTCAAAAGATTCTGCAATTCGTCGTGACCAGGTTTTTACAAAAAATTGTGATCGTTTATAACGATGAAACAATTCTGCTAAAATATAATGCTGTATTTTGAACCTGAAATTTTTTGCGATTTCGAAGTTTTACACAAAAGCATTACTTTTTGAACATCGGAATATCTGCAAAGTCCCTATGTTATAAGGAATAGGGAAGTAAAGAGATTGATGCCAAGTTTTTGGTTTTGCAGATTTTTTTATATATATTTATGCGAATCATTCAGAGGTGTCTTAGACTTGTGTGGGGGTGGTTATGATGGGCGTGGTTGGGGAAAAATGCGATTATGTCTAAAAATGTCACACAAAATGTTAATTTTGCATTTATTTTTAACATTTTTGTGACATTTTTAGTCATAATCGCATTTTTCCCCAACCACGCCCATCATAACCACCCCCACACAAGTCTAAGACACCTCTGAATGATTCGCATAAATATATATAAAAAAATCTGCAAAACCAAAAACTTGGCATCAATCTCTTTACTTCCCTATTCCTTATAACATAGGGACTTTGCAGATATTCCGATGTTCAAAAAGTAATGCTTTTGTGTAAAACTTCGAAATCGCAAAAAATTTCAGGTTCAAAATACAGCATTATATTTTAGCAGAATTGTTTCATCGTTATAAACGATCACAATTTTTTGTAAAAACCTGGTCACGACGAATTGCAGAATCTTTTGAGTTGACTCAACTTTCTTACAGGAGCACCGCTATAGACAATAGTAATGACTTGAAAGATAAAAGACAAAATTTGACTAGTATCTTTTTATCTTTTTATCTTTTATCTTAATCTTAAGTAGTATTCTTCCCAACCCTGAAACCCCTTTATTTAAATCCGTCTGTCCGTTTGCACCGCGATTTCTCGATAACGGGGACGAATTTCGACGTGCGGTTTCCATCAACGTGTCCCACATTTCCGTGGACCTAACACGTTCAAATAGTAAGGTCATAAGTCACGCCATTACGCTACAAAAAGGTCATGAACGTGTGTTTTAACGTAGCGTGTACATGTGGGATGTCATTTGAAAGGTGTTGGAGAGACTTTTAAGAAAATGAATGACACTTGGGGGGTTACGACCTTTCGTGACTTAGAAAAGAAGTCAAGGGTAAAAAAATCGGATTTTGACGTGTCTACCGAAACGTGGGATCGACTGCCTTGACTTGAAATTTCGCAGGTCGCGGGGCAAAATGAGACATTTGCGGGCAGGGCGACGTGAGACAATCACAGAAAATTACAGGAATTGGGTGGGGATGTGCCAAATACGCATGCCCGTTTTGTTTCACCCCTAGTTTACACTTCGTTATAATGGTTTATTATGTTACCCACAGACTCGTGCAGCCCAGCCGTACATAGAAAATAATCCATCTCTCACTTCCCCAGAAGCTTATCTTATTGGGCCCACCCTTACTGATTTTTGTACGTGACAGACAAACGTTCTCCATAAATTTAGGAACTTTCAAATATTACGTCATCAAAAAATGCGTACTTTAGGACCAACTGTGCACATCTACATCTCCCCCAACTTGGTATTTTCATAATGTTAAGGCTAGCAAGCAAGCCTGACCCAAAGTCGCTCACCCACCTTTTTTATGACGTAATATATGGACGTGGCCTTTCAGATACATATTTTACCTCAAATATTTAATTAATGAAATTATTTAGCAACATTTATGTCAACTAATGCTGCACAATATCCTGTAAATGATGTGATTGTGTTACTAACTGGAGAAACGTTTGATTTGTCCCCCGACGGAGAAATACTTGGACGGGCATACATTTCTGGGGCGTGTAAGCCTACGGAAAAAATGGCTATTGTAACCGACCCCAGAGCCAGATTTGGAGGAGTTATGATATTTGCGCATGAAATGGGACACACGTAAGTGGTGTTATTTATTTTAAAGTTTCGTGTATCACGCTAGAATTTATTTATCATTTCTTATTATTTTGATAGCCTTGGATCTTGGCATGATGGTCAAGGGACCTCCGCCGACTGTGCGCCAGACGGTGGGTTTCTAATGCAGGCGGGAGGAGGGAATGGAGATAATCGGTTTAAACTTGGTTCATGCAGCAAACGAGCGATAAATACTTATATAAGGTTTGTTCAATTTTTATTATCTTAAGGAGATTACGAGTTTAGCGGTATTACAATAAAATTGCGACGTTAACACACCAAGGCTTTCTTGTTCCCAAATCGAGGCGCGACGGGCTTCACGTGAGCCTTAATCCGGTTAGGATTTACCTTCTGTCTGTTTACCACGGCAAGCTTGTATAATCTCGGTTCAAAGTTTTTGCGTAAACAGCAAATCTTTATGGCTAAAATTTGACGTGAGACGTACTCCAAATTCCTTGACAATTTTTACTTTAACGTATATTCACAAATACATTTAACAGGCATCATATATTAATATTCATAAGTAGCATTCCCCGTATTAATAGTTATTCTTGTATGATTATGCAAATTTACATATACATTCTGAGAACTATATTTAAATATTTACAGTTCCGTTAGTGGAACGTGTTTGTCTGTGAAAAATAATGTCGGAGTTCCATGGGAAGTTCCATCCAATCTCCCGGGTGATTTGGTCGACCTGAATGCTTTCTGTAGAAACTCGGTACGAAATCCGAACGCTCGAGTGGATACGGATCCAAGTATAAGACCAGATGATATGTGCTATGCTGTAAGATGCCAGTATCCTCCACCATGCGATCCACCCAGCCAAGATGCAGTTTGTAGGGGAACTTCAAGATACCCGGCACCAGATGGAGCAGCATGCAGTTCGGATGGGGTAAGACGAGATAGATAAAACATTTTAGTTATAAATAATGCATAATATTTACAATGCAAAGGCAAAAAATGTTCCAGTTCGATTTTTTTATGACCAGCATAGTTTGATAGATCAACTCGTCAGAAAGAACGTTTCGGCACTTGGGCGGGCATGCAAAATTCGACGACTTATGCGCCCTGCAAGTTTGGAGATTTCCAGCCAAAAAACCAGTTTTACAGGTTTTGGTGGTAAAATCGCTCGTTATCCCCAACTTTCAACGCCCAAAAAGTCGCCGCATTTTGGATATCCGCCCATGTGCCGAACCAAACGTTGTTCCTGACGAGTTGATCTATCAAACTATGGTTGTCATACTTGGTTTGCCTTTGCATTGTTAACAAGCGATGGACAAGTGTGACTATGTTCTTAAAAATAGTGTTACATTTTAGAAAATTAAAACTTGTTTATATTTTGAATTTTATTTCATGAGTGCAAATTACAAAATCCAGATTAAACGTTGGCTTTTTTTGACCTTTCAGAAATGCCAATTAGGAAGATGTGTAAAGGTTATTTAAAAAATACACAAAATAAAATGCAGGGAATTTATTTGATTTTAGTCGCAGACTGCCCCATTCAGTTGCACGGGGGAAGGAACTTTCGTTAACAATACGGATTGTCGCAAGTATTTCAGATGTATAAGGATTTCAGGAACCTTGTACACATACAGTATGACCTGCCCGGCAGGATCTTATTTTAATGCGGCACGAAAAATGTGTCTTGCTGGGGCGTGTTAAAGAATTATGGGGTTGACTGTAACATAAATTTTATTTTCTGTTTCAATAAAGTTAACTAAATCATACATGTTCAATATAAAATTATTCATTCAAATTTCACTCATTCAGATTTACCCTAGCCACCTTTCATTCATTTGCATTCATTTTCAACCTCACTCATCCACTTTCATTCACACTTATTCAGGTTCCTCAGTCACTCACCTTCATTCACACTCATAAACAGTCGTTCGCTTCCAAACACTACTCATTCTGTGATTAACATTTGCATTTGTCATGAGTCATAAATTAAAGATTTATGAACGTTATAGGATGGCAAAAACTTACCATCTAATTGGAATAAGGAGGCTGACATTTGTTTTCAACTTGAATGCAAATTGCGAAAATGTGAAATAATTTGTGAAATAATAAAACTTCTTTGCAGTTTAGTACAAGATTCGTAGTACTGCAAGGGCAGTATATAGTGTCCATTTTGTTTGAGTGAAATGAGTGAGCATGAGAAGTTAATGAAATGAGATTTCTAGTGCACTAAACGGTACGGTATCCGTACCGTACCGTACCGTTCACTCCCGATACCGAAACCACATTTCGGTACCGTCCCAATTCCGTACCGGTGCAAGCAGTACCGGTTCCATAGAGTTTAGACCACTCCAGTACCGGTACCGGTACCGTACCGAAAACCGTCGGAACGGGACGGTATTTCCTGAAAGTTTGAATTAGTAAAATTCGGTATTTAATTTCGTGCAGAGCATGGATTACTAATGTTAAAAAATCGGTTGTATAGAATAATACAATTTCCTTGAACCCTTGTTAAGGTATTTTTGTGAAATACTATGTTATCTGAATGTAATTTGAAATGTCCGAAAGGCTTTATCATGAGCATCTACATATATATAGGCACAATTTAACGAAAAGGTTTACATTAGTGTTAATTCCTTCTAAAGCGAAATTAATGGAAATGATTTTAATTTTTTTCCATGTCTACGAGATTCGATCAATTAATATACCATGTAATTTAATTTAGTGCAAACGAAAATTAAACAAATCACCCTCTACCTATAAATGACTCATATAGGTACGGATACAGCATAAATATTTACATATGTAAAGAACTACCGAGTGGGACCGAATCACATGTTCTCTTTGCGCCAACCTTTTTCGTCGCCCTTTATTATGCTACTGTTACTTTGGATACCGATTTCTCTCAAGCTCACATTGGCAAGCTCCCAACATTTGTTCACATCCCTGCAAAAATGTGTTTTATTTGAATGCAAATTCTTTCGTTTTTTATAACATTAAATATTCAAAAAGAAATTATTACAGAGTATCAAGCTTATTTAAGCAATAGGCCGCAAATTCACTTCATCTTAACTAAACCCTATACATCTACTACATACTTGCTACCACCATGGCCCTGAGACTGTATTTCATTTTCTTGGGTCCTGCGACAAGTACTGTGCCCTAAGGTCAGAACTCTTTGGGAGGCATGAGTTGCCACCAGAGCAAATAGTGACTATGTCTCTGCCCGATCTAATTCAATTCATAATCAGATCAGGGCGGTTTGTAGGTCAAGTTAGATCTGTAAATCGTGAGAGTCATGATTTAGCACATTAAAGCGGTGTATACGGGGAGACTGCAATAAGCCTTTGGTGCTTGCGCAGCTGACGGTCCTGTCTAACAATGGCAGGATCGTCACCCCACCAATACATACATACATACATGCTACCACCGATCAAAACGAAAATTTCCCTCTGCTATCAGTTTTATCAAGGCGTAACCATGCAGTCCCAGTTCATTCATCTCTGTTTATTTGCAAAAATGGTATTATCCGGTGACATAATAATTAACAAGAAGTAACCACGCTACTGATTTGTATTGGGTAGGAAATAGTTATCGTGAAAGTACTTATGTATGTATCAGCAATCGCACTTTAGCATATATGGAATAATTCAGACTAATAAAGTAATACTTTTGTTTCCTAAAACTTTCTAAGAATTTCCACAACGAGAAAGAACATTTCAACGTTACAACGATATTGCTTTCTCCAATGGTTTTCATTTAATGGATCGCTTTCTGTGCTCAAAAAGTGTACGAAATTTCAAATAATCATAAATAAAAAAAGTTCTGAACCCTGATTTATTTTTTTATGAATAGTAACTGACACTTGGCCGACCCCCTTAGATAAAGACCTGTCCCGTTGCCTACAGGACAGGTCTTGGTTTGGTTAAGCGACGCAATGGGCTACGCAAGGTTCGAACTGGATGTTTTAAAGCCGTTTTCCCCCAACTATGACTTTTAGTGGGACGTTGAGCCGTTGTTGTTCGGCTCACACTTTTTCCTTTCCTCGGTTCCGTTTTGACTCGTTCAGCTTCTTCGCCACTTTTCTAACAAAACTGTAAATTTTTTCCTACAAATTTATTTTAATTTGTGCTTTGGATGTTGAAGAGAGTAGTCTGTGTTCGAATTTTCGGAACAATACTAGTATAGAGCCCCCTCTCCGGTTTTGTTGTGTCATATATCAAATTTTTCAGTTTCTTATGCTGATCAAGAATATACTAATTATTTGAATGGCAAATGAAAATTGACCCGGCAATTAATTGTCAAAGTTTTTTTCTAACCCCCATTTTTTATTGAATTTTTGGACGTTACAGATAATTCTAAGATTTTGTCTCATTTTACCCCATGGCGGGAATCTTTGGGGGCTCTTTGAGATTTTTGGGGTAAGATAAGATTGTGCAGTTTTATTGCAGAATCTGAAATTTCGATCACCCTGGGATGTTATTTGGGGATAGTGAGATTTTTGTAGCAACCAAGTTTCTGCAATTGTACCTACCTATTCTTTCCTACCTATTTTTCCTAGCTATATTTCCTAGCTATTTTCCCTACCAATTTTATCCTAAAAAACCTAACCTAACCCAACAGAACGGTACCCCGTCTACCAAATAATCTCACAATCCCCCAAAAAACATCCCAGGCTGATCGAAATTTTAGATTCTGCAACAAAATTGCACAATCTTATCTCACCCCAAAAATCTCATAGAGCCCCAAAAGATTCCCGCCATGGGGTAAAATGAGACAAAGTCATAGAATTCCCTGAAACGTCCAAAAATGCAATAAAAAATGGGGGTTAGAGAAAAACATTAACAATTAATTGCGGGGTCAATTTTCATTTGCCATTCAAATAATTAGTATATTCTTGATCAGCATAAAAAACTGAAAAATTTGATATATCACACAACAAAATCGGAGAGGGGGCGCTATACTAGTATTATACCGAATTTTCTTGGTTTGTATACCAATGTTGCCGACACGACCCATTTTGAAACGGCTCTTGTAGACACTTTTAATTTTTATGCTATTACGCTAATTGAGTGTTTCGCTATGCTCTCTTTTATCCTTCTAAATAAATACTAATATGTCCTCCATGTTTAAGAAATAACAAATTGTGAAAATCTGATGACTAATTTGATGGCGAAATTTTTAAACAAACTCAGATGAGCGAGAGGTGTAGTACTTTGCAATGCGCCACTGCTTACAATAACTTAGAACAATGCACAACTATTATTCAAAGTTGAGCGAGGCTTCTGGTTCAATGCTGTTAAACACGGACACAAATTTATATTTTTGATAAAATCTTTGAGGAGATACATGTATATATTTGTTAAAAAGCCCGAGTTGAGTTAGAATAAAAAAATACGCATTAAATTTTTTTAAGAGTTTTATCAAATGTTAAATTACCTCATTAAAACAATTACAAATAATATAACATGAGGTTATCATCTTTATAAAATTGATTGGTGATAACATTTGGACAGACAGGCCTACATATACATATAACCGTTACCTGTGAACGGAAATATGTGGACTATATTATCAAACTGGCGATAGAGCAACGGGTATGTCAGTTTTACATTACTTGCTAAATTTCGTTCTTCTGTACTAAATTTTTCCGAAGTTATGGGATTCGGTATTGAAGGTACTCCTGAGACGGGAAGTGCCGAAGGGCGTGGAAGAGGTCCACTTGACGATAGAATAGATGGTAGTGGAAGTGATGGCAAGCTGGAAAGCGGAAGATGCAAAGTAAAGAACATTTTACAGATCATATATACCGAATTAAAGGGAAATTAGCGTTTTTTGGAACAGTGGTTGTTTCATTATTGGTTTTCACCAATGGACAAAATCTGACCAACTTGTAACATGTCCAACCAATGGATTCTAATTATAAATTTTGAAGTGAATTTTGAAAATTTTCATCCAGAGGTACCCTGTGGGCTCATCCATACCTATTTTTCAAAATGGTCGGAAACAAGGTTCGGAAAAACCTAGGGTTTTATTCTGAAAACTGATCGCGGGAAAAACTCAATGTATTCTTGTGTTTTAATGGGTTCTAATGGGTTTTATTCTATGATTGGGGTAAAGTAATAAACCTGTCAATGTTAAATGTATTCGTCACAAAATGCACAAACTTCAGAAATACTTCTTTGGACTTCATTTTTTGGGCTTCATTATGCATACAGCTTTACAAACTAGGCAAAATTTTTGATAAGTATTGATATCTTAATTTTCTGGGGTTTTTACTTGTTCCTAGAAGTTTTTATTCGTGCCTACATTTCATACAATGCTTGGAATCGCATTAGTTCAAACTCAAGCAGATTGCAGTAACCCAGTAATTTGTTTTTCAATATCCAATATTCGCATAATTTACATTAGTCTGGTCGAAAAATAAGCAATAATTTAATTTTATACATAATAAATGTGCCTTTGCTCTACACAATTCTTGTCTAGTATAAGCCTGTAGATACATATGTGCTTGACTATACTATGCCAATGTAAGAAATGTATGTACGTCTTAAAGTACGTAAGTTCATGTATGTATGTATAAATCTACTTACATAAAATACCAGAGTGACGGGCTGCCGTGTGGGTGAGGCAAAAATTTTTTTGAGCTGGAGCCACCAACACACACCAGGCGGCGCTTCGTGTATGTACCTCTTCTAAACTTCCCGATCTACTCGAGCTCACTAGAGTGAGCTAAAAATAAATACTGTTTACAGCCGGGATATTTTTTCCTCTCTCCATCGCCA